CGCATATTAGGAAGAGGTTGTGTGTGTATGTGTGTGTGAGTGTGTGCGTGCGTGCGTGTGTGTGCGGGCGTGAGCGTGTGTGTGTGTGTCTTCGTACTTCATGTCTCCCACGTTCGTACTTGTCACCCACTTTCAGCTCCAAAACCAGAAAAGCTAGAAGGCTGAAACTTTGGGAGTATGTGCCCATACCATGCGCGACCCTCCTGTTTTAATATCCAGCGGACGCCTGGGTGTTGCATACGGACGTTTTAAAAAATATGCAAATTTTTTGGCGCGAAAGCAATGTCAGGAACCAGACAAAGTAACCGGCTGAAACTTTGTAGGGATGTTCCCTGCGCATGTGTTAGCTAAATATTTCAAATCCAGCCCTCGGGCATGCGTAGTTCTTACTTACGAGCACGTGAAAAATTAGGTGGGAGAATTTGTTAACTCGGCAACCAGAAAAGCTGCAAGGCTGAAATTTTACGGAGATGTTCCCTGTTCACGTGCAATTTAAAAATTTCAAATTCAGCTTCCCAAGCACGTGGAGCACCCACTTACGAGCATGTGAAAGTTTTGGCGGCAAAATTACTAACTCGGGAACCAGTAAAGCTAGAAAGCCGAAATTTTATGGTAATGTCCCTGTTCAAGTACAACTTAATTATTTCAAATTCAGCCTTAAGGTATGCTTGTTTCTTACGTATGGGCACTTAAAAGTTTCGGCGGAAAAATTTCTCACTGAACAGCTAGATTTCTTTTAAAGAACGAGCGTTAAATGCAAATTGTACATTTACTTACGCAAAATTTATGGTGAATTATACTAATGACTGCAAAAAGTAGGTGTAGAGCAACAACCATTCACGCAGTTAATGACCTGAGTACTTCAAGTCCAGTGCAATAACGCATGATCGCGCGGGTTCGCCTAGTGTGTAGCAGTTTGGATTGCTTTACACCTACCTTTTGCGGTCACTGGTATAAATCACCATAAATTTTGCATAAAGTAAATGTACTATTTCCATTTCACGATCGTTCTTTAAAAATAACCTAGCTATCCAGTGAGAAATTTTTTCGCCAAAACTTTTTAGTACTCATATATGAGACCTGAGGACTGAATTTGAAATGCTTTAAGTATATTGGACAGGGAACATTCTTCTAAAATTTCAGCTTCCTAGCTTTTCTGGTTACCGAGTTAGTAATTTTTCCGCCGAAACTTTCATACAACCTTACACGCATAGGTGGGGACTGGGTTTAAAATATTTAGCTCACATATACACAGGAAATATTCCTACAAAATTTCAGTCTCTTAGCTTGTCCGGTTCCTGAGATCGCTTTCCGCCAAAAAATTTGCATATTTTTTCAAAGTGTTTGTACGCAGCATCCAGGCATCCGCGGGTGATGATATTAAAACGGGAGGGTCGCGCGTAGTATGGGCACATGCTCCCAAAGCTTCAGGTTTCTAGCTTTTCTGGTTCTCGAGTTGAAAGTAGGACACACACACACACACACACACACACACACACACACATACATACACACAGCCTCTTCCCATGCGTTTTTGCAATTTACATATATGCAAAGGCGCATAAAAATTACTTATTTCAAGATATGGCTCGCGATTAGCTTGTGTAAGCTCTGGCCAGGCGGTGCTATGAAAACGTTCTACAATTGGTGTTTCTGCTTGTAGGTGAACTGGCTTTGACGGATCACTGAAACAAAAAGATTGCTCGTGAAATTACGTGAAAAACGCGCAGGTCACTGACTGCTTCAAATATAGGCTTACGATCTTTATTGCATGATTTTCCACTAAATACCGTTTTACTACTGCTACATATAAAAGATCAAAAAATAGGATAGTGGGAAACCAGTACTGAAAGAAAAAAGTAGTGTTTGAGGAAAATTTTTCGGAAAAAATGGAACTTTAAAAGAACAAAAAGGTTTAAATCACACTTTAGTAGAGGAAAAATTATTTGATGTTGCACTAAATACTTCGGAAAAAACTTGGGATAATAAGAGCTTAGAAGTTGCAGTCGCGCTTATAATTAGCCTCGTGGTCCGCTGCAGCTTTTTCGCTTCTGAAGACTCTAATCTGTTTTTCGATCTACCTCACAGATTCTTCCTTGTTCTGGTCAGTCAAAGAAAAAGACCGGTCAGCTTTTAGGCTGCACAACTTGTTTGGGTGTAGTAGCATCTAATTTAAAAGCACATAGCTAGGACTGGCAAACATACCCGGATTTGACAAAATTTGAAATATAATGCATCATGACACGAGAGATCATCTGATCTTCAGGTGTGAAGCCGGAATAGAGCTGCAATAAAACTGCAATTCAAAGCAAAATCTTGATCACTGGGGCATGAACACGCTTATTTCTGCTATACAAATGCTCGAACAGTTCTCATGCTGAGCAAATACAGAATTTTAATTTCTAATGCTTTAAAACATACGGTGAATAACAACAATTACTGAAAAGTTAATTAACCTCATCCTCTTTCTTAAGTGGATATCCTAAAATGTACGGTATGTGATCGCCTGAAATAGAGCCGCGAATGCCACTTTCGATAAATTCTTCCGACGTGCGTTTCGATTCATGCGCAAACAAAAACCTAGAAGGGTTAGCACTTTGGAGAAGAACAGCAAGCATTTGAAACTGAAAGCTATTTTCCAAGAACCAAAGCACCGAAAAAAGATTTCCCGCTATTTACACGGTGCTATGGTAAGAATACTAAGATCATTCATTTAACCGGTTTGAGAATCTCCTGTTAGTGATGGTATTGGCCCTTCAGTCCGAATCTGGCATACTTCAGTGACCACCTATTCGACAGAAGCAAAATTTTGAATTTGCTACACTATTTGGGAAAACACAGAAGTTTGAATTTGTGCCTGAGGTTTAGCCTTGTACATTAAGATATCACAGAGGTAAGCTGTGAGGTTTACACTTCAAAGTCTGACTTTGGTGTACGTTTCTAATTTTCCTGTAGCTATTTCTATGAAAAAAGAGCAATGATTTAACAAAAAATTTGCGCCACTGGTTCTTTTGACGGAGCTGTGCAAATCTGAATAACTGTTAGACGAAGCGTAGATGATGCGTCGTAAACTTACATGAATGTGGTTGACGCACGCTTGCTGTCGTCGGTGGAATGTAGCCGGGCTGTTTCAATAAGAGGTGCAACAAAGAGTACATCGCTAAGCGCAGCAAGTACACCGTTACGTATCGTCTTTGGATGATCCTGACACCCAATAAAAATTTATTGAATTTTTTGCATTTAATATCAAATGTTAAGCAGTGACTTAAGAAATAGCCATTTGAACAGTGCCCGAAAAAAAAATGAATGAAACACGAGGTCAGAGGAATGGTGAGCGGGAAGTGGAAAAAAGCAGTTGAGGACAAGAGAATCTGATATAGTTGCATTTAACAAATGAATGCGTCTCAGTAACAACAATCGCTCCACACGAATAGCCGGACTTACTTTTATAGCCATTATAAAACAAATAACAAATTAAAATTAATGCGGCTTAATAGACTGAAACGTCCTAATCCAAACTAAGCTATTCATGTTTTAAATATTTTGTAAGTATTCTTTCATATATAAATTTCATGTTTTGTACGTATTATAAAAATAAATTAATCCCACCTAAATTGTTCGTGAATTATAAGAACCATCAAAGAAATGTATATATACATAAATAAATTTTTGGAATAGTGTTTATATATGTTCGCATTTATATATGTTCGGAATAGCGCTTATAGATCTGTTTAAAAATAATAAGTATTTTGTCAAGCAAGCCATAACTTTTTCAGTATTTAACTGCACAGTCCCATACAGGACCATACATCCAATCTCTGACAGAGTACCAGACGTATCAAAAGTTAAACAAGACGCTCATTGCGTCATCAAGTCGAGAATATAAGCGATTCAAGTTCAACAAACATACAAAACAATCTTGGAATGCTGTTATGGTTATGAACGTGCTCTTAAAAAATTCAAACCTTTGGATTTTCCCAGTCGGTGTATTCGTTTGTTATGGCAGCTAAAATTTCCTTGCGATGAAAGTCATACAAATTTCTGACAAGTGTCCTGAAAGCATAAATTTATTGGTCTAGATGAATCTACTAGAACTGGGTAGCTTGAAGATGACTTCGAAGAATGTCAACAAACCGGACCGGTAAATCCTTTCACGCTTTTCTTTGTCGATGCCCAGTCGGATATCGTCATTTGGAAGAAGGTGATGGGCTGGATTGTTTGTTACACCAACCAACAAATCAACATCGCGAAAGAGTGACCCGTACTGTGAGCCAAACAAGGCATCCGGTTTGTTTGGTACTACCTGAAATGCAAATTTTCATCCAGCAAAGGTAAACGTGATGTAACTTTTAAAAAAAACCGCACATGAAAGTCAAAAATACGCATAACTAATCAAAGCGTATGGTCAACGGCACAGGGAAAAGTTTCGAAGCAAAGCTGAAGAACTGCAAGAATCATAATAAAAATTCGCTCAATAAGCAAATTTTTGTTGTGAAACACTGACCACACCACAAATTTCTAACACTACCTCATATGGAAAGCAGAAGTATCTAGAGAAATTAGTTCAACTTACCACGCTAAAGTAGTGGAAAGGGCTGTCTGCCCGTTTCTCCTGGCTCAGGAAGGGGTCTTTTACATAGCTTTAGGTAAAAAAGGTTTAAAAAGCAAAAGGTGAGCAGGCGGGTAAAAACTGAAAGCAAATACGCTAGGAGGGCAGAATACCAGATACTGTTGACGTCAATGTGCTACGAAGTGGAATTCTTGATCTGGGTCTGGGTCTAGTGAAATTCTTCAATGTTTGAAAAAAAAACATGTAAATTAGTTGCTTTGCTGCGACTCTGAATTTGAATAAGAGTTCTCAGGAGATCTGGAAGCATGTTCTAAATGATTCTACCACTCCACATTTTAGCAATAGTCTAAATCCGCACCCGACGGTCAAAGTTCAGGGAACGACTGGCTTTCGTGCTGTCCGCATATATCGTAAAATATGTCCAAAACTTAGGACTAATTTAGTTCTGCCATTAAATTATCAAAAGCGCCAACCTACATAAGCATAAGCAAAGCATTTTTTATTGGCGCAAATAAGACATTGAAAAAATGAATAACATACTTGTCCGTCGACAATCGGTGCGAAAACGGACAGGAAAGTCGGTGTTGCAATTTTACGAGCAGCTCGAGTGATATTCTGCGGCGAATGATCCTGCATACAGCGTACAATGTTATCCACACTTTTCTGGCTTCGGGACAATCGCTTTTTTTCATCCATCAGCTCAATGCACTGAATTCGTCACAGTTTATGCACTTTTGTTAAGTCTTGGAATTCAATTTAAATGCAAGTAATATTTGTGAATTTTTGTTCGGTATAGACGAGTTTTCAAAATAGCAAAAAACTCAGACAGTAATACATGTACGGGAATGTTCGGTGCACCTTGCATTTTTGCAACCTGAAATTTGACGTATGGGACATTAGCGTGTGTGATGATTGTTATTGTTTTTTTTATGTCTCACAGAATCAAGCAATATTTTTGTTAAACTTCAGCTTCTTTGCCTGCCTATTTTGCCAAGAAAGGAGGATGATGGTAGTGCTGCAGCTTGAAAATTTGGTATGTCTATGTGCGGGGCACATGTGTGATCAAAAACCCACTTCACGCTTGCTGGCCCCCACATGGATAATGAACAACCCCATGGATAGCAAAAATTCTCAACAAAATACTGATTTCTGTTCAGTTTGGTTAATGAGTTAATCGAACGCCAAAAATATTCCATACTAAATATCATGTGAGCAACTTAGCGGGCATTCTAACTGACCTAAATCCATATCTCAAGGACGTGTGAGAGCACTCCAACAAGACCAATAACATGGGACATCCACACTGATGTCCAGATGATCTGGTATTCTTGGTATTTGAGAAGTTTGTATCTAGAGAATTGAAACAAAAACTGGAAAAAACCTTAAGATTCTCAGCAAGTTGGAAGAATGCTGGTTGTGGATTTTTATTCAGTGCCCAAGGTGCCAGTGCCGAGCTATCCAGCAATACAGCCCTTCGAAACATTCGATTATTTGGTTGAGTTATAGGTGAAGCCATGAGAAGCGACACCTGAATTAATGTTTTCTTCAAGGAAACAAAAAAAAGAATCAGAAATTCAACATATGCATTTGTAATGAAGTTTACACTTTGCCAAGGAAATTTTCGTATGGATGCAATGATGCGCAAACTTACCAGGGAGGCACCTGAACCCCAACCAAGCAACGTAATCAGCGTTGGATCGCCACCGAATGCCGGCAAAATATTGCTAAGCATTTTCAGAGCTGCAACCAGATCCGACAGGCCGGAGTTGCCGGAACAACTGGACGCTTCACAGCGTCCAAGAAATCCTATAAGCATTCAATTAGACAATTGAATTTGTTAAAATGCAAACGCATTCACAGATTCGGCTACAACATTCGTATCTTAATTATTTATATTTTTTATTATATTTATTAGTTATATTTACACATACCTTTTGCTAATTATATTTGTTTGATATTAATTTGTTAACCTAAAGCAGCATTAATAACATTATTCCACAAGAAGTTGTTAGGTAATAAATTGCTTTGAATATGTTATGGGCTGAAATCTGCAGTACCCATGGCCATTAATAATTTAGCCGAAATTAACAGATTTTTTCGTTGTTTTCATGGTTGCACGAAGAGCCGACAAAAGTCAGCAAAGGAATATACGTCTTGCAAAACAATATACAGATTTGTATTTGATGCTTCACAGCTCGAATAGAATTATTTTTGATGAAAATTTATTTGGAAAATTGGATGAATACCAGCTGGATAATGGTTCTCAAAAAAGTGCATTACGCGGTAGAACTTAAATCATAGTATAATTACCGAAAACTCCGAGGCGATAGTTCAGTGTGATGACGATAATTTGCCCGTAGGATGCGAGCACTGTCCCATTATATGGATTGCCACTATTCCAGCCATAGTCGTCGCCATGTACTACCATTAATACCGGCAGCTGACTCCGGCCCGGATCTGTGATCAAGTTCTATTAGCTGTAGCTCTTTTTAAGGCAATTTTTTCAGAAGTCGCTTTTTTAAAATTGGTTTGAGCCCATATGTACTTCCAAACACTCTATTCAGATTTTTGAATTATTAAATAAATTTACTTTTCTTTTTTATCAGGCGGCCATAGCGCAGTAAGAGGTAACTGTGCTTCCATAAAGTAGGACGAGAGTTCTACTCCACAGTTAAAACTACCAATCCCTCTATGGTTCGTTTGGTGTTAAGTTGTACCTGCATATACCAGAAAATCAAACCTGCCATCAGAATAATCGAAAGTGGCCCTTAAAAGAGGCGTCATCAATACCCGCGCCAGCGGAAGGCAGCTGTTGATATTTGTTGCCACTCGGCCTATGTCGACAGTGTTTTTATCTCTCATAGAGAGCGAATACGGAGGGAATTCTGACTTTCATTTAAAAAAAAATTACCAATCCTTTCTGGTACATATAAATTCATATAAAGGCAGTCTTCAGATTGCGGCTTCAACTTTGGCAACAATTTATGCATGTGGTCATAACGTTGAGCGGATGTCACCTTCAATGATCTGCAAATAAAAGTAAATTTTCTGAATGTAGGGTTCAGTACTCCAGAATTTCATTAATGCCGATAAATTTGAACAAAGAAAGACGCATCGTTAGAAAAATTTTTAATCCCTCTCGGAAACACCAAGATTCCACCAAATTCAGCTTTCATGTGTTCACTTT